TTACTGGGCCACGCTCAGCCTGTCATTCCGCCTAATCTCTATTCATGTTAATGAACATGATAGCCTGAGGTCATTAGGTTGTAGGTAACATTACACATATCTCACTAAATATATTTAATTGTAGTTGTGAAATTAGTTTAATGATTTAGTTATATGATTTAGCTATAAGGCGGTTTATAAATGTTGTATTTATTATTATTATTATTATTAGAACAGTGAAATTTGGGTCGCAGAAAACTTAAATTTGAAAATGTCCTACTGGTGGACATTTTCAAAATGTTCATTCCATCAATGATTTCTCCGGATATACTACCTCCAGTACCTTGATGACGATTTGTGTCACTCACACCGACCTCATTGGTTGGTCACTGGTCAAAAATGCAGCCGAAATTTCTGTCAAGGTGACAGCAGAAAAACTTCTCTTCAAAAATATTCCAAAATCTCTTCTGATATTCTGATGATTTTCCGTCTATCAAAGCTTTCTTTAGGAATAGGACATTTTCAAAATTTTTAGTCTATCAAAGATTTCTCCGGATAAACTGCTTCCAGAACCTTGATGGCTACTTGTGTCACTCTCACTGACCTCGCTGATGGGTCATTGGTCAAAGATTTAGTCAAAACCGGGAAAATTTGGTCAAGGAGATGGTACAAAAGCTTCTCTTCAAAAATCTTCCAAAATCTCTTTTTTATTCTGGTTTACATAGTAAAAACTTGAAGAATCCAAATTTCATATGGTTATTGTCAGTGGCATAACATTGCCTGTTGGTGCCCCCTGCTGAAAGAGCGCCCCCCTGTTGGTGCATCTCCCATTTTGGCGCTCCACCCTAAAATTGAACAAATTAGGTGATTTTAGAGGATACGCCGGCAAAATCTCTAAAAAAGTGTGTTTCCAGAGCAAAACGCACAGTTTTTTCTTGTACATCAGTTAAGTTTTTCAAAATTGTTCCAGATTCAAACGAACATTTTGCGCCCCCCTCAGACGTCACCCCCCCCCCCCCCCCCCCCCCCCCCCGGCCCCCCTCCCTCCCATGGCGGGTCAGCAGGGCCCTTCACAAATGCAAGGTAGTACAGTCAAATCCGTCTTTTTGTCGGACAAAATTCGCAACAAAGCGATTTTAACGGGATATGGTCGGGACAGGTCCCAGGAATCATTCCAGAGAGTTCCCAAAATCCTCGACTTCAGGAAAATCCACAATTACCACTTTTTTACCACCTTTTTACCACTTTGGTTTTCTGCAAATAAGTCACGTTCTGAATATCCTAGAAGACTCTAGTTTAAAGCATTGTGTTAAGAAAACAAAGAAGAACAACTTTTTCTTTAACAACTTTTTCAAAAATAAATTATTTAATTAATTAATTAAATAATTAATAAATTTTCAAATATTTCAAAAATATATTTTCATAAAAAATGTTCACGATTACATTCCACGTATAATGAACTAATTTTTATAAAAATTTTCACTTTCAATATTTTGGACTTGTAAAATTTTCGTAATTTGTAAAGAAAAACCACTATTTACCACTTTTTACCACATCGAATCTCCGCTAATAAAACGACTTCTGAATTTCGTAGAAGGTTCTAGATTGAACCAATGTGTTCAAAATATAAAAGAGAACAACTTTATATCTGACAACCTTTGGATTAGATAATTAATTAATTAGTTAATTCGATTATTAAACAAATATTCAAAAATTATAAAAATTATTTTTGATCAAAATATTTTAAAATTACATATCACGAATAATTAACAAACTTTCATTAAATTAATCGGGAAATCGAAGTAGTACTTTATATAACCATATATACTAGATAAGAGTCTAACTTATGAGTCCTCAGCTGGCACATAGGTGCAATTGTCCTGACATTTGAGGTTGATCCACAATGTATTCCTGCTTTTCTGCATGAACAAGCATTGCCACAACCTGACTTTAAACAGTTGCAACTGATTTTTTGAATGAGCTTTTTCAGAGCTGTACTCATAAGAGTGGTCACTGGTACATGTGTCCCATTGTTCATCTTCCATCCCCAACTTATCGGATCTAGGTCATTCTTATCCCACACCTGCAGCTGATGGTAAACACGATAAGAATGTTGTTCAGCTGCCCCAGATGTTGGCGGGAGCTGTTAAAGATTGCGACTTCTGTTCAAGAACTGAAAGTCTAGCTTCATCTAGTGATCTCGATTTTGATGAAATCGCGATCGGCTGCAGCATCAAAAGTTCTTCGACATGCTTTATGGTAGCTGGTGTAGAATTTGCCGAATAAAAAGCATCTATTACACTTTCATCGATGGATGCGATCGTTCTGAAGAGCCGATCCTTACCAACTCCGTGGATCCGACTGGTGGTGTCTGATCCAGTGAAAGCGTGGCATGCAGCAGTATCATGTTTACGTACCTCCTACCAGTCGCACTTCGAATTTTCTCAATGTCATAGATGTAGCTTTTGGTGGTGAGAAACAGTTGGTGGCCAAATGCAAAGTGTTTTGTCATGTGCAGTAAAATGACGAGCAAATCAGTATCATCACAAATTACAGAAACATCAACTTGATTAGACCACTCAACTGCCTCTCTGCAAATCAAAACATCTGCAAAACGATGTGCGAAACGGATTGAAAATGACGAAGTTATCAAGCAATTTGTTTATCTCGTTAGCGAAATTGATTGGGTTATCAATGATTACCTAATCGCTTATCACGTGACAGGGTGCTAGGATACCGTAATTGGGCTTTCTGCACGATTTCTGTGCCACGCTTTCACTGGATCAGACACCACCAGTCGGATCCACGGAGTAGGTATGGATCGGCTATTCAGAACGATTCCGATAGTGGGAATCTAGTGCACTAAGCTACGGAGAAAGTCACGTGAAATTTTTGGGCGAGCGAATTAGTAACTTAATAAGAGCCTAACGTATGTGTACTATACCACCTCCCCCCTACCCCGCACAATAACTTAGCATGTCTGTAATCCGGTTTGAGGATTTATCATTTGCGATCTCTACGTTACAGTATGGACATTTGTTTAAACTGTGTTCGTGGACTAAAGATGGTCCTGACTCTGTTACAACGGACTCCTCTTCATTGGCCGATATAATAGTTAATAGCACTATGTTTACAGTATGCACTGAAGGGGTATCCTAGGAAGTTTCTTGAACTTCTAACAGGTACCCCTCCTCATTTAACCCTCAATTAAGTTTTCTATCATTCGGTTGAGTCGACCGTTGAGATCGCATAGATCTAATGGATCCTTAGCTACTCCCTAGACTAGGTGACACTGGGATTCGAACCCTGAACCTTCTGCGCAGAAGGCTGATGCTCTAACCGCTAGGCTAGATATGAATCTTTGGAACTGGTCTATGGTCACTGTCTGCAATAATAAACACAAGACGTCACTCTGAGCTGAATCAGTCATGCCGTTGTACTGCCGTTTAATTTCGTTCAGTGACCAGGGGTTGTTGATCCAACCTGTGGTGCATTGATTTGTTTATTTATACAAGGTATGAGAGGCGTCAGGATAAAGAATAGGACTGTACGTATCCGTTTAAAATTTGCTGGGCATAGTTTAAAAGTTAGTGTACTTACTTAAAAGATAAATAGTTTAAATAGTACCTGGGAACAGCAACCCTTTCCATATTTCATTCCATACAAATTTACATTGTCGATCATTCGCCCTCTTAAAGCTATTCACCGAAACTAACTCCTCATTTGCCTGGTAAATTAAAACATTGTATTGGTTAAGAATGCCTCTAGTTGCGCTCTCCACTGACATAAAACTTAAAGGTAAAACGGTAAAAACATATTACTATTATTGTATATTAGTTGACAGCTACTCACATAGAATCTGCACGCGTACAGTATCAGGCACACGATGTGTTCTTCTTTTGTCAAAATATTAACTATTTCGTGTGATTTTAGTCCTCGATTTTTAGCAGATTCAACTTTTTTACGAAGAGAAGTCAACATAAAGTAAAGCTGAAGCTTCCAAACAAACCAGTTTAACAATCTAGTTAAGCACAACACTAAGTCGAGAGATATGATGTGTAAATAGTTATAAGCTATAATAGTATCGTACAAATTTGGATATTTTACCATTTATTCCATTTATCTGGATTTTTTTAATCTGTTATCTAATCTATGTGACGGTGTATGTTCTGTTATTCAAGTAAATTCATTTTACGTTTTACGTCACGGCAAATATTTTTGATAAAAATTATATTTTGAAATTTTTAAAAATTTAATTATTATTTAATTAGTAAATCAATTAATTATCTAATCCAAAGGTTGTCATATAAAAAGTTGTTATCTTTTATATTTTGAACACATTGGTTCAATCTAGAACCTTCTACGAAATTCAGAAGTCGTTTTATTAGCGGAGATTCGATGTGGTAAAAAGTGGTAAATAGTGGTTTTTCTTTACAAATTTCGAAAATTTTACAAGTCCAAAATATTGAAAGTGAAAATTTTTATAAAAATTAGTTCATTATACGTGGAATGGAATCGTGAACATTTTTTATGAAAATATGTTTTTGAAATATTTGAAAATTTATTAATTATTTAATTAATTAATTAAATAATTTATTTTTGAAAAAGTTGTTTAAGAAAAAGTTGTTCTTCTTTGTTTTCTTAACACAATGCTTTAAACTAGAGTCTTCTAGGATATTCAGAACGTGACTTATTTACAGAAAACCAAAGTGGTAAAAAGGTGGTAAAAAAGTGGTAATTGTGGATTTTCCTGAAGTCGAGGATTTTGGGAACTCTCTGGAATGATTCCTGGGACCTGTTTCGACCATATCCCGTTAAAATCGCTTTGTTGCGAATTTTGTCCGACAAAGGCTTAAATTAGGACGGATTTGACTGTACTAAGGTGAATTGGCAAACCAGAGAGGACTTTTTCAAAACATTTTATATATTATATCTGTATGTCTCTCCTTTCTTTTAGTCATATATTTCTGAGACCTATTCTATATATATCTATAACACTGCAGCAAACTCATTTATCATAGATTCCATCAGCTATGTTATCATGGTTGTGTTACTGGACACTGCTGACCTTAGTAAGTTGTGATCTCAGTGGAAATGAAGCGCTCAACACTGAGATCGAGGCTCATAAGTTCCTTCCAGAGTGGTTTCTCTCCCTTATTCAGAACCTGTTCACATACAGCCTGGTTATCGTGCCGGGAGCACTTGCCATTCGCTGGATAAAACAGACCAATTACATCGAGAAAATCAGTAAGTTATTTCTTCAACCAAAAATGTAACAGATCATATTTAATTATAATGTACTCAAAAGATTGTTTCAATTTAATTTATCAGTCTTCTGATATTACACCATAATTTATCTTAACAGAACTCCCATTCTATAGATCCAGGTGGGTGGCAATATAAACTGATTCTGACTTGTGTTCATGGAAAGCAGGACTTAGTGGATGCAGATGATCTGGGAGAGAAAGGACCGGATGGTCAGCCTAAAGAGAAATCGAGTGGAGGACCAAGAAAACTTCTCATTTGTGTTATTGGTAAATTCTATATTTTAATGTTGCCATGGGGTGGAAAGTCCCCATTTCACTGCCTCACAATATACATTATACATTTGGAACATAATACAAAGAGCTACTGAATACAAGTTGTTCGTTGTGAAGGAGATAGGATACTTTGAATCAGTTGTAGTGTACTAACGGAAAGTTCACTAACAATTATCTGTACATGATGTGTAAATTTTCTATACACACTAAAACTCATCTCACGTTCTGAATGTTATGGATAAATTACTAGTAGTGTTCAGTAGCATAAATACTGTGTGTAATCATGGGCTCATGGCGACAAAGCCAGAAATCGGTGCACAGAAATAGGATTTCTTCATTTTGTATCAGTCTGGGAAAATTAATAATTATCGTCGGGGAAATGAATTTTTGTTTTGATAATCACTGACGTTCACTAACGTCACTACAAAATGACTGGAACGTGCGTTCAATACGTCAAAATCCACCGTTCACTACAACTAAGCTTTGAATCCTAGAGCCTACTGAAATAAATACTATTACTAACTGTTCTTAATTCTTCAGGATTGCAGTGCTCTTATCTAATGTGGGGATATCTACAAGAGAAGATAATGACATCAACCTACGGAGATCTCAAGTTTCAGGACTCTCAGTTCCTCGTTTTTATGAACAGAATCCTGGCTCTGTCCATGGTGTTTGGGTATATCAGCTTGGTTAAACAACCTACCCACAAGACACCACTCTACAAGTTAGTTTGTAATTAGTTTGTAATTAGTTTGTAATTAGTTTGTAATTAGTTTGTAATTAGTTTGTAATTAGTTTGTAATTAGTTTGTAATTAGTTTGTAATTAGTTTGTAATTAGTTTGTAATTAGTTTGTACTTGTAATTCAAACAAATCTAATTGTTTAGATATTGTCACATTTATCTTATTTGCAGATGACACAATTTTAAAAGTAAAATCATATGTCTGTAGTAATTATGAGAGTTTATTTAAATTGGCTGGCTAAGAAATATTATTACATCGCTAGTTAGTAAATAGAGCCTTAAATGTACGAACCTTACGAAAGTCGGTGTTTTTTCGAAAAAAACACCATATTTTCGGACTAAGTTATCACTTCGTTGATTTACTATCAAGATAGTAAGTTATAAATATGATCCATCAAACAAATGAACACTAGTTATAGTATTTGACCATGAATTTAAAAATGATTTTGGACACGTTCCGTTAAAAGAAAGCAAGCTCTGTCACTACTATTTTGGCCACGGCGGTGAAATTTCGGGAGTAGTGGATGATAACAGACACCGTCGGTCTTCTATACAGTCTAGAGGATTAGAAGTTAAGTTTAGGCTAACTCTCAAAGGCTCCGGAGAAACTGTTTACAAGATGAAACAGCTGATCAGAGAAGATCTTTGTATTTAATTTTCTCAAATATTGAGTTTCATTTTTGTAAAATAAGGAGATGGAAAAATGCCCAAATACCATGATTTAATTTGGAGTACGAAATTTGGCGGTTTTCGGAAAAAAAACCTCATATTTTCGTTCCCAAATCATTTAGGTCACCGGAATTATGCCTCGTAAGGTATAATGTATGATTATAGAGATAGGAAGCTGTTTTGGTCTGATTCAATGTTTGTAAGATACAGTCCATGTATGTAATGAAATCATATAATATGGCAGATCTCAAAACTAAACCAATTTCTCGATGTTTGTCCCCGATATCAATGCAGCATATATAAACTTGGTCGTGGAAACGAGTTATAGAATATTTGTAGTTTCCACATAGGTCTCTATTAATTTAGCTATATTATAACCGTGTGTGTTTGTGTGTGTTGTAGTTACACGTTATATCGTGTACAAGGTAGTAGTAGTTTGATGAGGCTCACACAGTCACTCTTCTCACGTGTCATCTTACACCACGTGACCACTTGACCACGTGACCTGGATAATATGATTTAGTGGCAGTATCACGTGACACATCCTTAGTTCTTATATTATTACACTTTACAGAGAGCAGTGCTAAATAATTATACGCATTTACTACTCTACCTTAGTTTAACAGTCAAGTTATAACGTTAAAAGAAAGTAAAGTAAGTTTTAAAATGTCTGTATTCTGTACATTTTTATACATGTTATCACTATTTTATCACTACATTCCACTTACCACTCTTTCTTTTCAGGTATTCCTTCTCCTCCTTCTCTAATATTATGAGTAGTTGGTGTCAGTATGAAGCTCTTAAATATGTCTCTTTTCCTACACAGGTACATAGTGAATAATAACTATAGTATTATAGTATACAATATATAATATATGTATATATAGTGAATAGTATATTATCTACTATTGTTTAAACTATGATATGACGTTTTTACTTTTATAAAGTAAACCTATCGTACTCTTTAGTCCACACTATGCAGCTGTTATATTGTTGGAAGTGTACAATTCGTCACGAAAATTTAAAAAGTTGTTAACACGTAAGCTGAGTAATGTTACCGTTATATCGGCTGAATCATTGTGTTAGAACTTGGTAACTGAATTAAATAACAAACTTAACATTGTGCCCTGAATGTGCCAATAAGTTTAAACTGTTTGTGAGGTTATTAGTTTAACACACGACCACACGGACTTTACAGTAACTGAAATAGCAAACCATTGTGACGAAGATGTCATGAATGAGTGTAAATAGTCTGTGTATCTGCAGTTATAAGCCATGTTTATATTTATACAGCAGTGGTTAACACACATCTTAACTTAACTTTTTAATTTATAAATTTTATCCCCTTTACACCATTATTAGCAGTGTTAAAACTATTTTATTTATAAATTATTAGAATATAACTCCACAGGTGATATGTAAAGCCAGCAAAACGCTCGCAGTTATTCTGATGGGTAAGGTAGTTTCGCGCAAGAAGTACCCCGCTTACGAGTACGTGTGCGCGGCGCTCATATTCGTCGGTGTCAGTGTCTTCCTATTGTGGAACCCTCAGGAGACTTCAAAGAATTATACCAAGGAAACTACGGTTAGTTTTTATCAACAACTTTTGGTTAGGTTTATTTATTTTGGAGATGTTAATATGTAAAATGTATCACATAGATTTGATCCCTGTATAGTGTATATATATACTATATATAGCAAGGAAAGTTCTTGGTATATAAATTTGGGTGCGTATTCCATGTATTATAGTAACCCTACTACTAACTATTTTAATGAAGTAGATTAATTAACAATACAATTTTCAGCTCTCAGGGTTATTCATCTTGCTGGGGTACATAGTGTTTGACAGTTTCACTTCAAACTGGCAGGGAGAACTCTACTCTTCTTACAAGATGTCATCTTACCAAGTAACTAATTATTAAATATGCTTTTTCTTATTAAATTCATCTCACATTGTGAGTCACCGCCTTTATCTAAACTTTTTTGCTTAATAAGCATACGGTTATAACGTTTAGAAGTTTGAATTAAGGTTTGACTGCTGTCTGGATTACCTGCTTGTGAAGATGTTTGCAGTTTGCGAAGGTCCACCCTGATCATTAATCAACTGTGGTTTCCCTGTATTTAGTATAAACTTTGTTAGTCTTACAGCCTAATTTCACACGTTTTAAAAAGCAGCGTGCAACTTACATTCCGAGTTAATTGCAACGGAATGTAAATCCGCTTGAAATACATCTGATTAAATTATAATATCTCCTAACAAACACAATCAGAATGAAGAAAAGCTCCTTTTCTATCCACTCCTTTATAATAATTACAAAGTCTAGTACTACAAAGTTGATAGATTACATAATTACACACATGTGATGTGAGTGTGTTATATTATAACCCTACTAATTTCAGTGCATGTTGGGTACGAACATCTTCTCCTCTCTTTTCACCGGAGTTTCCCTTCTGATGGAAGGAATGTTGTTCTCTAATCTCCTCCTCTGTCTCCAACACACCAATCTTGCCTATGATGTAATCGGAATGAGCATCTTCTCTATGACCGGTCAGTTTAGTTATTTTATCATTTCAGTCGGGCTGACTATTTCAACATGATCCAAAAAACTTACCACTGAGAGCAGACTTTATGGTGCACCCAAAACTTGATAAATAAATAATAAGGTTAATCTATTTAAGATCATTCAAACTTCGAAATTGGTATTGCAGACTCAATAACATTTAATAATTAAAGTTAAAACATATAAATTTAACGCTTGAACAGACTTCCGTTTCTCTTCATGTCTTTGGCAATCGTGAGATGCACCTATTCCAATAGCTAGAGAGATGTCTCTTACCCTTAACACCCCCAAATTTCCCAGGTCAATTCTTCATATTCTACTGTATCGAGACATTTGGACCTGTTGTATTCACCATTATCATGGCGTGTCGACAAGTCCTCAGCATTATTGTCAGCTGCTTCATGTTCGGACACCCTCTGACAGCCCAGTCATTCCTGGGCGCTCTTATCGTCTTCATTGCTATATTCCTGCGCATCTACGCGAAGCAAAGATCAACCAGAGCGTCTAAGTAATTAAGTAATTAATTATGTTATTTTGGCATGGCATTTGCTATTACCCTGGAATCTGTATTTCTCGCTGTTAGTAACTGTTGCATGCAAATGTATCCATTAAATTAATATTGTTTACTTTAAAGAGATATTTAATCAGTTATGTATCTGAATGGCTAAGGTAATGGCTGGTAAAAGCTTTTTCATTGGGCGTGGCATTCTAGGGATGCTGTAAGCAACGTGATGCAATCTTAGGCAGAATATTTTATTTTTAATCTGAAGACTTTTGATGTCGAAATCGGACATGTCGGACAAGGGTGCAGTTTCAATAACAACAATCGGGCTAACCGCTTTAAAACATAAAACAGCGCGGTTGTTATCGATGTTTTAATGTAATGCGGCGATATTTTATAATTTGTTTCCTTTTTAAGATAATTAAATTGTAAGCTTTATTAAGCGTGCTTTTTGTTTGGTTAACAGCTTTTTTAATGTAAAAAATTAAAATTAACTAACTAATTTGCTGCAAAGGCTCTGAATGGCTGGATGGTACTTTTAAAATAAGCATCATTAAGTTCATTTACTATGTTTAAGTAAAGTTAAGAAAAGCTGATTTATAATTGCTTAATTTTCATCTCAAAACATCAGTTAATTGCAAGTTTTCAATTTACAGATCTGATCCCGAAAGTGAATCGGAAGACAATGCCAGCAGCACTGTTAAAAGCACTATTGACAAACTAGTCACTAATTGCTATTATAAGATGTGATATTTTATACTAGTGCTAAGCTAAAAGAAAGTTCGGTAATGACATTTCAAAATAGTTTAATGTATATTAGAATCCTGTTTAAGTTATTTTCAAGAATTGAATTATAGATGTGATCAATTTCGCCGCTAATATAAACGTTTTCACTGTTATTTGGTAATCTATTTGCAGTTTAAAGTTGACATTAAACAGAATTCTACAAACTTCTCTTCGATTGCTAAACCAAAATAAGGTAGCGAGATCAACATATTATGAAAATCAACATACCTGGGGGGGGGGGGGCAAAAGTCAGTACCCATACGTTGGTCTTAATAGTTCAGTTACTGAGTGCCCAATTGAAATAATTCTTTCTGGTATGACCTACTACCACCACTGGTTCGAGGAATTTGTCAAGTCAAAAAATATTCGTGTCCATTTTTTCAAATGAAGGTTCATTTTCGCATTTATTTGATAGTTTGGATAGTCGGATCGAGCCAAATTTTATTGAATTGTGTTTGGCCATTTAAATTACGTTCGTCCTGAAAAAATGAGAGTTCTAGCTTCTCAGATGACCGAGATATGAAGCATAATGAGTTTGTTCATTACGTGTGATCAGGTGATTGGGTTGAGGCTAGATCTGCATTATGGGAATCGTGCAGAGAGAGAGAGCTCAATTACGGTGTCGTGATTGGGTAATCATTGAGTACCCAATCAATTTTGCTAACGAGATAATTAAATTGCTTGATAACTTCGTCATTTTAAATCCGTTTCGCAACATCTTTTCAGATTAAATTCCGGATTAAATGACCTATTGCAATATGTTACAACGGAGTCTCTAACATGTTCACAAACACGAGTATAAACAATTCAATTTTGATTGGATGTGGCCCCCAAAAATCGAATTTTAAAATTTTGGTGACAGTATGCTATCTGCAAAGCAACAACTCTCAAATATAAAACACGGCGGTGGTATAAGACCCAACGTATGGGTACTGACTTTTGTACTGACGTGGATATATTTCGTCCTCACACTCAAGTAAATTTGTCGGGCACACTAAGAGTAGGAAGTAATTACAGTTTTTGTTAAAATGTACCAAATTTCAAAATTTTTGTCGGAAAATGTTCCCAAGACTGTTGTGGTGGTGGTGGTGATGGGCTAGGCGTCTAAGGGTCCCTCAAGCAAGGTCTTCTTAGCAAACGCCAGGATTTCTATCGGGTTGGTGGTTAGTATGTCCAAGTTTAAGTCAGGTTTTCCGAAGATTTCTTCTCTCGTCCTGATCGTTGCAGGGCACCGAATCCAGTGTGGTACCGTTTCTTCTTCTTCTCCGCAACGGGGACAAGTTGCACTCTTTGTAGAGTCGATCCTATTTTTGTAGTGGGACAGGTGAAGGCAATGGCCTGCTCTGAGTTGTGCTAGCAGCGCTCCGTCTTTCCTGCTCTCTATTTTACTGTCCGCTCTTTTTCTGTTGTATCCCTTGTAAGTCTGGGAGACCAGGTGGTGTTGGGGGTCGCTATCCTTGATGTGAGCCTTTGCTACTGCTCTGGCAACTCCGTATGAGATTGTAGACTGTCCTTGGCCCAGGTCCGGGAGTTGTGCTGCTTCCTTTGCTGCTTTGTCAGACTGTTGTCTTGTGCCGTACCATATTATCACATTGTAGAAGTCCTGTCCAAAATCATGCCTGTCCAAAATCATGCCTGTCCAAAATCATGCCTGTCCAAAATCCTGCCTTCGGCACCCGCAGGCCGCAGGATCAGTTTTATAACTAACCATATCACAATTCACAGATCAGTAATACATTTAGTAGACGGGGTAGCGACACTCTCGCAAGTGACGCGTCATTTGTAGGACTTCAAATGCGTAACACGCGGAAGCCGAACGGTTCGTTGCTAAGAGTCCTAGCGCGTGCGCGCAAATTAATTCGATCGATCTGATCTGCATGATCTGGCCGGCGCGGCAACATGATATGCGCGTTAATTCACCATGATTTTTTGTGAAACTCTGTTTCGAGATAGGACCGGTGACCGAACTTTTGAGGGGGTCCCGGACCCCAACCGTCAAACGGTGCCCGCGGGGCAGCCAGGCTCATATTTGGTCCAAATTACGCCCAATTTATCTAAATACCCTCAACATGCCCAAAACCCAGGTTTTGGGCGCTCTACTTGTAGCTAGTGGTCTCTTGAACTCGTATATGAATTTTTATCAAGATTGGACAAAAAATGACTGTAGTAGTCGTAAAGCCGCAGTCAAGGTTCGGTGAACGGTAGGTGTTCTCAAGGTTTGGCCGGTAGAGGGTCCGCAGTAGTCCTGCATTACCTTAGTATTGCTGTACAACTACTACAGAAGTGATCCTGATAACACTCGACCTCTGCCTGATCCAGAGGATGTCACCATTTTACCTTCGCACAGACATCGAACGCTGTAAGAAGATGACGATCAGACCTCGTTAGAAAATGACTGAGTTATGAGCTAACAACTATGTGCCCATATTTTGGCATACGCACCAAATTCGATCGATTTTGACCCATAAATTGGTCAAATAACAATATTGTTTGGTGAAACAAACTTTATATAAAAGGTAAGCCTAAACTACACATTCTCTACGATTATCTGCTCAATATCTACCTGACTGTGGATTCTGTGTTCTACTTGTAAAAAATGAAAAAAATTCATATCTCAGTTCGTGATATTTTCGAAACTGATTTCGCTCAAAACAATAGAACTCAATATGGTTTCAATATTTTTTCATGAAATTTTCTGAATCAACGTAGAATCGCATTTCGACCTTAAGGGCGATTTTGTTCATTTTTTACGATTATTTGAACACAGAATCCACAGTTAGGTAGATATTGAGCTGATAATCGTAAAGAATGTGTAGTAATGTGTATCAAAATATTGATATTTGACCAGTTTATGGGCCAAAATCGATCGAATTTGGTGCGTATGCCCAAATATGAGCAATGAGCATATAGTTTTTAGCTCATAACTCAGTCATTTTTTGACCTGGGTTTTGGGCATGTTGAAGGTATTTGGCTAAATTGAGCCTTATTTGGACCAAATATGGGCGTGGCTGCCCCGCGGGCACCGTTTGGCGGTTGGGGTCCGGGACACCCTCAAAAGTGCGGTCACCGTTCGATCCTACTTTGTTGGTCAAGTTTCACAAAAATTTCGGATTTACAGACCACTCCCTCCACTTTTCCGGGTTTGTTTGAATTTTCAAAACCTCCCCCGGATGTCCGGATTTTCCAACAACTTAAAATAACTAATACAAATGAAATACAAAAACTTAAATTCGTTGGTACATAAAGTATATAACTATTATATACCTGGTTGAACAGAGCTATAGTGAACTAACCAGCTAATTAATTTACAAGGGAATAAATTTAATGTCTTGCCTTCATAATTGCTTTATTTTTTACCGAATTTTCCTGTTCGCTGTCTGTCTGTCTGTCTGTCTGTCTGTCAATAGCAAGAAAAATAATGAAATAATGGGTACTTGATGGGTGAGATTCCGTGCCGCGCCCTTCCTTCCTGCAGCTACGGTCTACCACAGGGATGGTAGCTATAGTGTCCAATGAACCGTACAAAGAAAGTAGAGGTCGCACAACTGCTTAAAACGAACCACGAAATATTAGCCAACAACATACAAGGCTCCCGCGGGAGCTATGCCGAAATTTCAAGCACCAAGTCTGAAATCTCTAAGGATCAGAAATCCCAGGACAACACAAAATAGTCAAGACACAGTCCGGTGTTAGCAGCACCATTATATTATTGGGCACACCAGGACTTCAGATCTGGATATCATGACCAGATGTGCAACAGCCTAGCCCTATCGCACCTATAGTAGTCAGTCCAGCTTTTGTTTGTAGTTCTCTAGACGGTTGCACACCTACCGTCACCGAGACCCCAAAAGTCTCGTCTGCTATGCGGCCTCTTCAACTATGCTTATTACTATTGGGGGTCGTATCCACTTTTCAATTCGATCGGTATCCGGCTTTAAAATGCAAATCCTCCATGAGTTACCCCCATACAATTACGGTCCCTGCTATCTCGATTTCAAAGATTTGACCCGATTAAATGATTGCCAATTAACCAATTAACCGCTCTACAAGAGCCTTTAATCAGGAACAGTTATACGTCCCGGGAACATTTTCTGCGCCTGAGATGGAATTTAGCTGATCTGCCTTGTAATTTAGCCGCCTTGTAAGTGTAACGGTCAATACTTAATAATAATATGCAAACACTTTTCACCAGAAACTTTTGCAAATTTGGATATTTATATGAAATAGTTCTAAGAGGTTTTCTAATCCAAATTTTATCCACGTTTCGTGTCATCACGGTCTAATATAATATTTGAAACAAATATTTTACGAGTATCACCCGTTAAACAATTATCGCCCTTACTGGGCGGCGCTCAGCCTGTCATTCCGCCGAATCTCTATTCGGCGTTTATGTTTATGAACATAATAGCCTGGGGTCCCCAGGTAATTACTAATTATCGCCCGATACGAAATTAACGCCCTCTATCTGGACCAATTAGCTAATTACTAGTTGTATTATTATATATTAACCTGACAAAACATTAAACAAGTAAACAACTTTGTTGGATGAAAAGCAGAGCATTATAACCTCCCATACATCAAATTTTAGCGGCCATGAAAACAATTTGCTGTGTCATTTAAATTTGTCACACGTTGTAGACCTGCCGCGCAAGAGTTTGCAGCTGTATCGTGGCTTTCGCCACGACGATTGGGCGACATCTGTCCGACAGCGACATCTGTCCGACAGCGACATCTGTCCGAAAGCTGAATTAGGGATTTCGGACAGATGTCGCTGTCGGACAGGAGTCGTTTTTGGCGACATCTGTCCGAATTTCGGATCATATTGAAATTTCGGTTCACATTCGTATTTCACAAGCTCACGGGTAAGCAGAACAAGCCCTTACAGACGTGAAGAAAACCAAAAGAGACGGGCGGGAACTACCTGAGCCACGTGCACCCAAATGGATCCGTTATGATCGACAACTTCAGAGAATTGTAGATGATTACGACAACTACAGCAACCCTATGGATTTCCTTAAAGCTATCGGAAATTTGACTATGCTTTAGATTTGATTCTGTGATATTGTATTATATTGAACTAATTTATAACATTTAAATAACATTCAAACTATTGTCCAATTTATCGACATCAAATGAAAATAAACTGTGGTAGAACTATGGCTCAGATCATATCTCAAATGTTACGTATACAATTTAGCAAATAACAGTTTAGATCATGTCTCTAATTGTAAATGTGTCGTATTGAAATCAGGTCACAATTTCGGACAGATGTCGTTTTTTTCTGGTACCCTGATTCGGACAGATGTCGCTGTCGGACAGATGTCGCTTTCGGACAGGAGTCGTGTTACCCGCCACGACACTTATATTTAGTGAAACGACAATGGGGGTCATGACGTGATACAAATTTAAATTAGGTTTTAAATGGCCAAAGAAATAAAGAATGGATACGACCCCTAGACACTGGCACTATACAGATACTCTTATAGTTATATTATTATTAGCCTAAGTTGCAGTGCTCTTTCAAAACTTACAGAAAAACTGTTCTCATTTATGCCTTAATGGGTCAACAAAGCTTGAATTCCATAGAACAGTAAAAAGCGATCGTACTATCTTGAACAAAATTATATAGTCTCTTCTTTAGAATTACAGGAACAGGTATAAATTGCATATTGCGTCATAGAAAGAACAGCTTTATTGAATTAATAAGTCATACAACAGATTAATAGAATTTACTCTGTAACAGCTATCAGATATCTGAAGAATTTTCACAGAATAAAGACAAAGGAATGTCGAAGTATGAAGCAATTCTTGGAAATTTTGAAACTGATACGACGGCAAAATTCTTTGCTTTACGATGGGTAATTTAATAAATATTGCAATAAAATGCTTACTACTAATTTTAAAAATGAACTTTATCTTCACGAATAATTATAGCTTAGCACAATACTAGGGAGCTGAAAAGTGTTGATTTGGTGACCAGTATCGAGATATACATCCCCTCACATCCCGTGACGCCCGAGACGATATGACAACTTCATTCGCTCGTTTTACTTCTCCAAAGTTCAGCCACGCATAAAGCCAACTGCAACTCTCCCGCGGAAATATTTCTTCCTTTCATTTTGGATCTAATAAGTGATCTGTCCACGACCTCACACCTTTCCTCGGTATGTCTTCCCTAGGTAAGCAGAGTATTGATCTACAGTAGAAACGTAAGTGTAAGCTGCGATATTGTCTTCTTGGACCAAGGAGCAATTCTGATTTATTTCTCCCAACGTCTTCACGTAGTCATTTCCAATCTTCGGGAGAGTATGGAAATCAAATAATGTGCTTTATTATTATTAAGTACAGGAGATACGGCACTTTATTGATTCTAATTTACAGAAAATAACTAAATTCTAGAATGTGATGTTGAAATCGAATAGTTATGGCCCAACGTGGGAACAATCACTATGGCAAAGATTCCTGGTTAAAAACTTACCGTATCGAAAGAAGGAAATGGTGATTCTGTTAACTCGATCAATTCTACCAACTTCTCCGCCAAATTCAAATGACCTGGAAGGTTTTTAATATACTTTCGCCCTACCCCAACATTGTACACATATTTTTGTATTGAAGAATGAAGATATGTCTAATTTTTCAAGGTGCTGAAAATTACCTTTCAATACCAAAACATGTTCTATCTATTATCAATGTACGCTCTCATGCGTGAGTGTATTCAAAATACTGAGAAATATTTAACATATTCAGGGTATAGTTTCGGAAGGTCAAAACGTACGTACGAGTAAGCCTGCACAGTGCACAGTGCGCTTCATAAAGCTGATGACAAGTCAGCCGACAACCATCAAAAGCTTTATGTAAATACAACTTCACGCTCTCCCACGGCACGGTTTGCGGGGTTATGTTAGTGTATTTCCGAGACCACTTTTTTATATAGTAGTTAAAGTACCAAGCAGAGGTAGCGTATGCTACCAGGCCTTCAGTTAAAGAACACTGTTATTTTCTGCTATATGTAGAAAATTTATAAATGCCAGCTACCAGGCCTTCAGTTAAAGAACACTGTTATTTTCTGCTATTTGTAGAAAACTTATAAATGCCAGCTACCAGGCCTTCAGTTAAAGAACATTGTTATTTTCTGCTATATGTAGAAAACTTATAGATGCACCAGCCTCTATAAGTATAATAGATGCCAGCTTTTATGTTAAGTATGAAGAAAATGTTTAAAATTTTCAGGGAGGTATATTTCTCAAAGTTAAACTTATTCAAGTTAAAATCACACTATTATATCACAAAACAGCTACGTCGGGCGTCGGCTAGTAGGAATTGTTAAATATAAAAATGACAGAGCTGCGACAGAGTAAAAGCATTCAATGTATAAGTATTTCACCATATTATGCACTTTCCAGAGGCTTAGAAAAATAACACATTCCTCTTCCCGACATGCAACATAAAATAACACTTCTTCACCACCCATCTAGTTTTAACCTTACGTCAGAACCTACCGTCGTTTGACAGTTTGATCCCGCCTTGTCTGAAGTTTGCATCAAGAGCCCTGTCTAACAAAGCTGAAGTGTCTACGAACTGTCCTCCCACTCTTGTAGCTACCTCCTTCGTCTTCTCCGTGTATTGTTTAATTGTGCTCTTATCTATTGTAACTCCTGAGGATAACAGTGTAAACTGTAAGCTATTGTGTAATGTGTACCTTAAATATTGAAATTAGAAAATAAAGTTATGATATTGGTTTCATCAAACTGAGACTAAAAATCAGATGGAGAATTTACATGAATCAGGCTACATTTTAAATCTTACGAATGTAATTGTAAAAACAAAAAATTCAATACCATCAAAGACATTGCCTTCATCTCCTTCGAATCTCATGGTATGTATGGGTAAAGGAGAGAGCAAGATGAAGCGCTCTGCGTTCATATCAACTTCATTTGTTATCTTGTCTACCAGTGAGTAAAGATTCTTTCGGAACTGATGAAAATACCATGTAATTAGAGAAATTAAGGAATTAATATTTAATAAAAAGAGAAGCTCCCAATAAGACACTCCCTTATTACGGATGTTTTAGTTTTAAAGCCATAATAATTGCTATATTTTCTAGTTTAACTTAGACCGCGTTAGACTTTGATTGGAATCCAATTATGAGAAAATAAGAAGAAACCCCAAAAGAATCGAGTTGTAAAAATACTAATAGAAGTTTAAGACAGTTGTAGTGAGATAAAACAACCCCAAGGAACTAGATAAGATAAACATGAGATGGAAATTAAAAGTGGGTACCTTTTCAGGATCAGTGACAGGTCTGGTATCTTGTTTACTCCGCAAGCAGTCGTCTCTGCCACATAGGATGATGATGTAGTCGGGAGTAGCGCCCAGGTTCCGGGCCACGCTGCTCGTTAGAAGCTTTATCCACTCTGCTGTGTAACCAGGGAACTTCCTGAGTAGAGATATTGTCAGAAAAATGTTTGTTTGGCATAAAGTATGTGAAATCCCCAAGATGTGTGCTAATTCTGTAAGTGTAACTATAAATGAACAAAATGCTTCGCTTTAAACACAACTGCGTTTCACTCTCGCCCTCAGGATATAAATCGAAAAAGCATCAGCCATTCGATAAAATTGCCATTAAAAGAAAATATCAATGTTAAAACAAACCTCAGGATAACGTCTGCTTCTCCATTGAATCGGTCGTTTAAGATGGAGCCGAAACCGTGTGTCTTTAACGCTGATTCGACTTGGCTGTCTCCAATAATGAGTATTCGAGTCAACATCTTCGACAACCGCTAGCAAAATTACATTTCGTTAATAATCAATGAGGAATTAATTTGATTAAGTTGAATTAAGAGGTTCCGAATTGAAAGGTTTACAAATGTTGGTCGTACAGAAAAGATATCTTGGTGGCCTTTTACTGGCATCATTCATAAAGATTTGTATATTACTTTGTTTACGGAATATTTATGCTAGATAATGTTAAAACTTCAAACAAAAGCATCGACAACTGGCTAAACACGGCATAGGTTAAACAGCATAAGATAACTTAATGAGTTAAGTTTGACGTATCGTTATGTGCGTTTTCATCGGTCAATTGAGAATAAACGAACAGAATGCATATCGGACTGAATACCGAACTATCACTATCTATAGTATTCACAAATCACAACTTGTGTGGATTCGGTCCGCGGATGGAGTCCCTGTCAACGGAATGATGCGAGAGCTCGTGAAGTTTTATAATGAGGATGCGAGTCAACATCGCCCATAACCTTTATTAAAATAATATAAAGTATAGCAACTTTCAAGTCAAAGAATAATATTCAACTATCGGATCTTAATTTGTTCATACTCGTATGAACCGCTTAAATCCCGCAAGGCATGAGTTGGCAACAATTAAAAATGTCGCAAGGAACATCAAGGCTCTCAACGACTCCAGTTAAAGTGGAGAACATGAAACAAGGCAAATAACTGGTATAAACTAGTAAATAAAAAGTACACTCGACGTTTTGACACTTATCGACATTTTACTTACAAATTATTAAAGATTCATACCAGTTATTTTCCTTGTTTCATTATGTCCACATTGAGTTTAAACAAAATCTGTCGATGCTACCTACCAAAACTTACAATGTCAAATAGTTTAAAATTGTAGTGCGCTCTGCAGAACAGTCAACAGATTTCTAGGTAGGTACTTGTGACGGATTATGATAAATCACTCTAGGCTAACACACGACGTACAACGTACTTTAAGTTTAACACGTTCTCTAGATGGCCCTGACGGACGTCGGACAATTCAAACCCCAACCCTTACCCTAACCAAATGCCTGTAGTTATTCACAATCAGCATTCAAAAATACATCGATTTAGGTTAGTTTCAACTGCCTTAAAAAAAATTCGGAAGTTTTACATTCCAGGTGATTTAGCACGCTCGGCTTATTATATGACACTTACAAAAGTCTGCGTTATAACAATACTTATATTTAATAACCCTAAAGTCTAATCTGTTTAGTCACCTGTTGTCAAAACTTAATTCCGCAGAATTGAGAATGCAGGTTTTCCGTACTACAATTACCCAGGGGAATTGAACTTACAACTTAGTAACTGAACAGAGAGTAAATATTATCTGCAGTGTGTAGTGCATACCCTGAAGAGTCTGACCGACACAACGGTGTTAAACTTTATCGTGCATGCGATTACTACACCAATCAAAATACAAATCAGCATCACGACTAGTTACATTTTACAAGTTACAAGCCAAAAATCCCACGTTTGGCTGTCAAAAAATATTAAATAAACTCGTTCCGAATAACCATAATTACTAACAAACAAAATTGTTTAAAGTTATACTTCTTTCTGTGTATGTTCATACAGTCCCTCCCTGTTATGTAGATGCACTCACATGCAATGAGACAATTTTAATATAATCATTAATTAATAAAATCATTGATTTAATAATAACCCATTATTGAGCCCATTTATATCATGTACAATATATAAAATTGAATATACAATATACATGACTGACGAATAATTAGTTAGGAACCTAATTCTGTGACAAATCAAAATGTTAACTTAAAGTTAAATCATAATTTTAGTGAAGAAAACAATACAATTACAAAATATTTCAATGATAGAATTATAGCACAAGTTTTGTTACTGCTAAGTAATATAAGTAAAATACGGATACCAGAGACAGATGGCCATCATTTGACATAATGAATCAAACATATGTAAGTTTTACTTTTATACAGATATAAGCAAGCGCGCTGACAGGAGTTGGATATTCACGCAGATATGAAATTGAAACTATGAACTACCGTATAACAAATTGTCGATATAATTTGTGATTTTTGTTGTCTGTTTGAGGTGAGAACTCTATATTAATATTATCAATTATGACTATGAGTATGAACTTTTATTATTATCATTGCTAGGAGTATTGTATGACTATGTGTAATTAGTAATAGTATATAATATTAATACTACAACGGTGGTGTGCGTAAATGCCCACTCGTTGAAACTGCTATTGAAATTATAAAATAATTAAATTATCACCCGTCAAATGATCGACAAATTTGAAAATGATCTCTTTATTTGAATTTGTATACTTGTAATGATGAATGATATATTTCTTTATCTGAATTGTTATACACCCTGTACTTATAATGATGAATTTACGATTTTGATTAAATTATTTTCGAATGAACCGTATTGAATTTGATAAATTAAATTATAATACCCAAATGAAAAATTTAAGTTCCTTAGCACTTAGAATCGATTGGAAAACCGGATAATAATACAATAGATACATACAAAATTGATGGGTGAAAACAAAATGTGGATCCTCTCTCCCGTAAAGCTACAAGTAAATTACAGAGTTGTATTATCACAGTGCTGGCAAGCACGACCGTTGCATTTATTGTGGGTATACTATGTACCCCATTTACTATTATACCCCCTTTGGTACACGTTACAAGCCTCTTTCGTGCACGCGAAGCGTGCACTCCGGCCGGAGGCGGCGGCCGAAGGCCGCCGCCTCCGGCAGGAGTTTTTCAGGCATTAAGACTCATCGGAAGTCGTTCGACAGATTTATTTTTAGTTCAAAACATTCTAATTTGATGTCAAAGATGACACGAATAAAAAATAGTTATGTTGAGATTTTTAAGAAATTTGCATAAAATACTCGCCAGCACTGTTATACGAAATTCGGTAAAAAACCCAAAATCGCCATATTCAGGTGCCTTAAAAACCATGTTACAATTGAGTTAGAGATCTGAAAAAAGTTTCAGGTTTCAGGAGCATCGGGAAATGGGTTTTCTAGAACCCCTGTTTTACGACAGATTGTCGTGATCACAATGCTGGCAAGCATAACCGTTGCCCTTATATTCACAACACTATGTACCCCCTATACTATTATATCCCCTTTATTGTTTTCCAGGCATTAAGACTCATCGAAAGTAGTTCAGCAGGTATATTTAAGTTCAAAACATTCTAATTCAATGTTAAAGATGACAGGAATAAGAAATAGTTATATGGAGGTTTTTAAGAAATTTGCGCAAAATACGCGCCAGCATGTTATACGAAATTAGGTAAAAAACCCAAAATCGCCATATTCAGGTGCCTTAAAAACCATGTTAAAATTGAGTTAGAGATCTGAAACTTTGCAGAGCGTCTAGACCTTGTCCAAATCGACTGTAAAAAAAATTTCATGTTGCAGGAGTATCGGGAAGTGGGTTTTCTGGAACCCCTGTTTTACAACAGATTGTCGTGAAGCTATATATATATGTATGTATAGACGCTTTTGCAGTAAATTGTAGCCTACATTTAAGTGGCCGTAGATTCAAAAGTATAAAAGATACAGTCATTTCGAACCACAGGTTTTAAAGATAATTGTTTATACTTTAGTTTACATTATATCGAAAAATAATTTATCGTCATCATCATCACTTGATGACGTCATCAATTTAAGTGTTTTTAAAACTTGATTTTTGACAAAATAACAACTTTTCAAATCGATTTTAAAGCATTAAGAAGTAATTTTATTCAAAATCTGAGGATATTTTCATCTTAGATAATTGTTCAAGCATTCTGAAAATCTACCGGAAAGTTTTCCTACCTTGCTCCTTCATAAAGATATTCGCTATTGAAGTTAGTGCTTTTTTGAAGAATAATTTTATAAAAACACAAAAGTTGTGAATTAGTATTCTCTGGTGTTGGGCCATCCCTTGGGTTGTGGAGCTCAATTTTGCTTCCTAAAGGTCTAAATTGTGTTATAGGCTAGTTTTAAAGTTGAAAATCGAAAAGTTGCACACGTGGGGACACGCCCAAATTCATTTAAAATAGCTAAAATCACTGAAAATTGTTATTTTCACGATTTTTACCAACTTTGGAGTCCCGTTGTGATCCAAGTTCTTTTTGAAATCTTCTGAAACTTTTCATGCTTATCAAACTATATATTAAATAACACTATGCAAAAATTTATGGTGATTCAATATTTTATGCGCACGCAACGTCCGCTCAAAGTTTGCACGTGCGAAAGGTGAGAATTTTGCTCATTCGTGATTTCGAATATATTCTGCTTTCCCACGATATTTAAATGGCATTATATATGAATTTAATGCCAACTTGAATGAGTAAAAAGTGCTATATGCAGTCTGTTATTGACAGATATGCCTACCTAAACACAAGGAAACGTTTTCAAAGGTAAAATTTCGAAATCGTTGAAATAACCTCCTTATTAAGTTTCGACTGTGTAAATTATCCTGACATTATAATCAAAAAGAGATGATATTTGACCAAAACCCATAATCATGGGTAGAGTGAACCGCTGCCAGTGTCTCTCTTTTCCAAACAAAAGAAAATGATATTAATTTGAGGAACCGTCCGCAAATGCAAATTGATACCGAGAATGAAATCGGTCGCTCGCTATTTCCAATCAATAAGCTTTATATTACAATTCGTAAGCCGTGATCGAATGGAAAAAGCGAGCGACCGATTTCATTCTCGGTATCAATTTGCATTTGCGGACGGTTCCTCAAATTAATATCATTTTCTTTTGTTTGGAAAAGAGAGACACTGGCAGCGGTTCACTCTACCCATGATTATGGGTTTTGGTCAAATACATACATACATACATATATTCAGGGATAGACGTTTTGCCAGTCAATTATAGGCTACATTCAGGTGTCTGTAGATTTGTACCTATAAAAGATACAGCCATTTCCGACCACAGGTCTTGCAAATAATTGTTTACACTTTAGTTTACATTGTATAAAAAAATTATTTGAC